TGATTGAGGGCATATCTTGAGGAACCAAGAATGCTTATGCTTCGGATTTTGATAAAAGAACGAATATGTCCAAGCTGAGATATAATCCCAATAATTGTAACTATGACCATAGGATATTTTCCTTGGTAAATTTGGATTTAATCCCCAGTCACTAGGCCGTATAAGCCTCTTAAAGATAGCTTTACTATAAGTAAGAGGACTATCTTTGGAATTCGAAAATTGCTTCGTGTGGTTGATCTCCACAGAGGAAGTTTCAGTAAGAATGGCTTCATAGATATATCTATGGCGACCATCTGGTGCAGCATATTGTTGAGTTTGGAAATATCTGGATTTTACTTCCCAAGGATCTGGCATCCATTGCTCATCTTGAGAATCCAGTACCAATACTGTTTGAATATACCTTTGATTAGGTATCCATGGAGTTTCTTGTTCAAGAACCTCTTTCATGGTTGGTTTCTGTTGTTGTTGCTGGGAACTACTGCTTCCTTTAGAAGGAGTTTTGAGTAGATCAGCAACATGCTCCAAATATGGAAACTGATCATCAGTGAGTGGTATAACCACTTTGGCCTTAGCCTTGTTTTTGCCACGAGCCTTTGGAGTATTACCCCGGCCCTGCCCATGGGGGGGCTGATTCATGAACCCTGCAAAAATTCACGAGTTAGAAAATCAGGTAAAGAATTAGAACTGCCTTTAATATATTTAATAGAAAAATCAAAAGCAGATAAATCAGCTTGCCAACCAGCAAATATCTGTTTGGAAACTAAATTTTTGACATCTTTTTCCAGTACTTGTTTAGCAGCACTACAATCAATGCATAACAAGAATTTCTGATTGATTAAATCATCTTGGAATTTATAAATGCATTTAACCAAAGAAAGAATTTCCTTTTTGATGGTTGAATAATTTAATTGTGCATTTTTCCAAGTTCCTGAAGTGAAGCGAACAAGCTCCTCTGTTCCTGTATTTGGATTTTTCTGTTTAAGAATACCACCGTATCCAATATTGGAGGCATCTGTTTCCACAATTTTGAACCATGAAGAATTAGCTAGAGCTAAGCAAGGAATTTGTTTGGCTCTGAGTTTAATCTTCTGGACTGCCTTGGTGTGATCCAAAGTCCATGGGGAAGGAGATTTCCTTAACCTGGTGTACAAAATTGCTGTGTCCTGTGCAAGATTTTTGTAGTGACTTCGAATATAATTCAAGCTACCCAGAAATCTTTGAAGTTGAGTTTTATCCTTGATTTCATCTGGAAATTTAGAAGCAAACTCAATACTGCGGTTAATAGGTCTAATTTTTCCATCACAAATTTCATGACCAAGAAATCGGACCTTAGTTAAAAACAATTTTAGTTTAGGAGCAGAAACTACTAAACCACTTCGGTAAATGACATCTTTGAAAATTTTCAAGTGTTTATAATGCTGATCTATTGATTTTGAGAATATGAGAATATCATCAATATAAACAATAGAAAATTCAGTAAAAGGATTAAATATGTCATTCAAAATATGTTGAAATTCTGAAGGGGCATTTTTTTAACCCAAATGGCATCACTGTCCATTCATACTGTCCGAAAGGTACGCAAAAAGCTGTTTTGTACCTGTCCTCTTCTGTAATTTGTACTTGGTAATATCCAGATTTAAGATCAAATTTAGAAAAGATCACAGCAGATTGTAACCTATCTAAAAGATCTTTGATGTTGGGAATTGGGTATCGGATCCAACTTAAAGTAAGATTAAGTGGCCGATAATCAATAACCAATCGAGGAATTCCTCGTTCTTTTTCAGCATTTTTATTGACATAAAAAGCTCTGCAACTTCAGGGGGAGTAGCTAGTAGTGACAAGCTTCTTAACCATTAAAGAGCTGATTTCAGTTTTACATAATTCCAGGTAGTCAGCTTTCATGTGGCTAGGACTAGCTTTAGAAGGAATCATGCTATCGGTAAACCCCTTTTCATAGGGTAAAGAAACAATATGCTTCTTTCTGGCCCAAAAAGCATTAGGAATCTCACTACAGATTTCCTTTAGAAAGTGTTGCCTTAGTGACTCAATTTTCTGTTGCTTAGTGGGTTGTACCAATCTTTGATTAATTGCTAAGGAGGATACCTCCTTTTGCAAATAATTCAGTTGTTTTTCCTTAAAGATAATGTTATCTTTAAGAGCATTGATATGCTTATTTACTGGTGGGGTCAAGAACTGGAAAGTAATTGACTGGCCATGTAAAGTAGAGCATATTCCATGAGAATCAATTTTCCCAATTGGCATAATCAAAGCTAAAAAGGGAGTGCCCAAAATAGCTTGTTGTGCCATGTTTCTGATGAGTAAGAAAGTAGATGGTAGGCAAATACCTTCTTTACAAATGAAAACATGATTAAGTTTATATTTAATCTGCATCTTTCCTCCACTTGCACTGGTAAGACCTTGAGTGGTTTTCTCAAAATATTGAGTAGGAACCATTCCTTCCTGTATGCAGTTCATGTCTGCACCACTATCAACTAAGGCAATTGCATTAGTGATTGTGTACTCCTGATTAATCACCAAATTGATAGATATATACCATTTTTGGTAAGTAACTTGATTCAAGAGTTGAAGATAATTAGTACCTTCTGATTGAGTAACTTCATCATTAGATGATGAAGATGGAATTGCAGATTTTGCTTTTAAAAGAGTAATTTCCAAATCCATCTTAGTCTGACGAGACTTTAATTGACGAATTTCTTCTTTTAAAAGATTAATCTCCATTCGAAGATCAGGGAGATTAGCAGGACGAGAATTTTGTCCTTGGTGTTCTAATCTGCTTAGAACTTCTTTCATGCTGTAGTGATTTTCTGCCCGCAGAAAATCTGGATTATCCGTATCCTCATTAGATCTTGCCAGAGCAGAACCTATTTCAAAGACTTTCATCTTGATTTGAGGATCCTGGATATGATCTATAAGATCCAATAAGGATTGTTGAGTCGAAGTCAAAACATTTAAGCTTAACCCATTCATCTCAACAATTGCCTTATAATAATCATCATGCGAAGGATTACAGGAACATTTAGGGTTTTCAATCTCTGCTTCAGAGGAAGAAGAAGATTGTAATTCCATGACAACATCTCCGTAATCACTTGATGATTCTGTTTCAGAAGAACTAGTATTAAGTAACAATTTACTTAATTGAAGTCTCAGTTCCTCTTCTATGTGAAGACTACTGAGCTTTTCCTTAGTTCTGCATTTGTTTGCATAGTGGCCAATACGTCCACATTTGAAACATTTAGCTTCAGCTTTGGGCTTTCCTTTACCCTTTGCTTTAGGAGTATATTTCCTTTTAGGCTTAGTATACTGTCTAGAATTATCCTTTTCCTTTGAATAATTCTTTCGTTTGGAATACTTCCTTTTATAAGGTTTTTCAACCTTATTTCTTTTCCTAGGTTTAGGATAAGATAAGGGAGTCTGGTAGGCAAATTGATCACAAAATTCACCTACTTCCTTTCGACCAGTTAATCTTTGGGACTTTAACTGGGATTGTAACTTCAGATCATTACAGAGAGCTAGACCTTCCTGGATTACAATGTTGACTAATCCACCATAGGTATAGTTTCTGTAAGGGATAGAGATACCATTATTCATATCTCTAAGCTTTTTCCTGATTCTTTCAACAAAGAAGGTTGGTAAACCATCTACAAATTTGGCTTTCCAGTGCTCATGATTTGCATCATTGAGCTGGAGAACCTTTGCCAAGAATACATCTTTATACCACCGGAAATGAGTTAAAGATGGACATCTTAGATTTTGTAGAAGTTCACGACTCCGTTCACTATTAGCACCTTCAGGGCCAACAAAATGTTGGATAATAGTGGTAATGAGTGTGTAAACCGCATCAGGAGCAGGGCCTGATTGTTGAGTAGCTTCATCTTTAACAATCTTGGTAGCAGAAAAGATTTCAGCTTTCTGAATGTCAGTGAGAACATTATCCCACCATCCTTTAAGGATTCCTGTCAAACCAGCAACGACAAACTTAGCAATGGTTGGGTCAGTATTGTTGTTGATTTTACAAACTTGGCTATACATCAATATTTGATGAATAACCTCGTAAATCTGATAATCAGATTTGCCATCTATGTTCCATTCATAAATGGTCTTGCCATGAAAAGATTTCTGTGTATGAAAATAATCTTCTTCATACAAGATATCTTGAGGTGTGGGTCTGGGATAATAATATCGACTCGGAGCAGGGGCTGTATTAGAGTGGATATTCTTATCATAGACAATTCTGTTGAACTCAGGCATCTGAGTAAAATCATTCTGGAATACCTCAATATGAGGTAACACATTCTCAGAATCAGAACCAATTTCAGATTCATCATGGGATAAAGTCTGAATTTTGAGTCCTTGAATTTTCTGAGTAAGAAGAGTAAGAAATTCTTCATTCTTCTTAGGATGTGTCAGATTGAAGCCTTGAACTTCAATTGCAGGTTTCACCAATGCTTTGGATAAGGAAGCTTCTGGAGGAGGAGTTTTTACAGAAATACACTTAGTATTAATTGTATTTAATACCGTGTCTATTCCTGTTTCAATTCTTCCAAGCTGGGACCCTATCGTTTGTAAGCAAACATTAGTATAATTGTTCTGCCTGTAAACATGAGTAATGTTATGCATTTTCAATTTGTTTGGTGGACGTTTAAGAAGAAAACTTGAAATGAAACCAACGTCGTGAATTGGGTGAGACTCGGAGACTCGTCTAATCCAAAGAATAGTGGATTGGGGACCTTTAGATTTGTAGTGGGTGTTGCCTAGCTCTAGAGTGCCCAGGTGCCTTATCATGTGAAATTTTTGTGAAGAGAGAGACTGAGTGGCTATGTATTGGAATTATTAGCATGGTTGGCAGTTATTTGTCATGCAGAACGTCCAAATAGTATTAGGTGTGGAGAGGCAACACGTGTTGTAAGCGAAGTCATGGTGTTGATCGTTAAGCACTACTAAATGTCAAGCCAACCCCCTCTATCGAGTCTACCTCTCTCCTCAGTTCTTATCTCTTTAATTTGTAGCTTCTTTCTTTCTTTCTTTCTCATATATTTGTTTCACCTACTACACATAGATCAACATCAACATCAACATCAACCTTTCTCTCTCTCTCTCTCTCTCTCTCTCTCAATGGATCTGATGAACTCTCTGCTGAATTTGGTGGTGCCACCGGCAAGCCTGGTGATGCTAGCGTTTGCATGGCCGGCCTTGTCTTTCATCAATGCATTCGAATGGCTTTTCAACACTTTTTATAGTGAGAATATGGAAGATAAGGTGGTCATCATCACTGGAGCTTCTTCTGGGATTGGGGAGGTAACAATCCTACTTAATCACCCAAACCCCACTATACATATATATATTTATTTATGTTTGCTCATACTCATCATATATATAATTGCTTTTATGCAATTTCAAACATTTCTACTCACAATCTTGCTGGGTTAAATGGGTCAACTGTCAATTCTTTTTCCTTTTTTTTTTTTTTTGGTATATATTACTGTCAATTAATTCCTTTAAATTTGGTTAAATTAATAATTTTGTTGGCTACTATTGTTTATTATTTGTATTTTACTTCTTTTCTTTTACTTTTTTCTTTTTCTTATTAATTTAATCAAACAAAACTTGCTAGCAAGGTCCCTCCCTGAGAGTCTCTAATTAGGTGTTTGAAGAAAAGACCAAATGCGAGCAGTAAATGGGATCACAAATTTAATTGGATTTAAATTGATGAAAGTGCATTACTGTTGCAATTTCTAACTTGAAACCGGCCTCATTAGCTCTTATAGGGAGTGAATTAGACATGCCATGCTTTTCTGCTACCAAGAACAAACATAGAATATATAGGCATTTGAGTCTCTGGTGTTCTGTGTTCTTTACAGTGATGAGCATAGTCTAGCGAACGACACACAAAACAGAAGAGCAGTTGAAGGAAATCTAGCTATTCTACTATCTCACTAAGCTAACTAACACGTTGCTTTGTCTAACAAGTCATTTTGGTATGAGAGTAACTCTTTCTTATATGACCATTATGTCTGATCTGAAAACTTTTCACTGAGACAACTATTGTAATCACAAGAGAAGTGGGCAAGACCTGAATCTTAGATATAGCTTTTCGACCTGACCAAAACCAATTAGCCATGGGGAATTCAATCCAGGTATTTTAGATATTTTATTATGTTAATAGAACATCTAGTTTTGTTTTTTTTGTTTTTGTTTTTTTTTTTTTTCTTAAATTACATTTATGAACTCTGAGTATCCAAACCGTTGATCAAGTCGACTGCAACCATCTTAATTAATGAGAAATTTTGTATTGAGAAAGGGTAGCCATGGATGATAAAAAGATGTGCAAACTAATTTTCACATTTTCATTGATGTCCTTGCATATGGATACTTGGACCTTCACTTATGTTAGCACGCTAGCAATCACATGTAACTGCATGCATTTTTTACTGATCATGTAATATAATTGTTATTTTTCGGCTCAGCAAATTGCATATGAATATGCAAAGAAGAGGGCCAATCTTGTATTGATCGCACGAAGAGAGCACAGACTCCGAGGTATCGGTGAGAATTCAAAACATCTGGGCGCAAAGCATGTCATGATAATGGCTGCAGATGTTGTGAAGGAAGATGATTGTCGGAGATTCATCAACGAGACCATGAACTTCTACGGGCGTGGTAAGTCCGAAGTGTCCCCTCATCATGTTTAAAGAATGGAAATTACTAGAAACTATATGTTATTTGTTGTATTAAACACCCACCTTTCTTTTTATTTTGGTTAGTATAAGCCCTATGGTTTCTTTACTACAAAAATGCGTAGACCAAAATTTTTATTTACTCATTAAGGATGCAACATATAGGTATTTTTAAGTTTATTATAGATTACAGCTTCCACATTATCAGCATTTTCCATCCACTGTGACTGAGACTGATTGACTCGAGTGTTGAAAATAAACTTGATTTTAGAATTTTAGTTGTAATTTGTATTTTCAAGTATTTGGTATACATGATGCATGTGTGCATTTCATGTTAGTGGGGTAGTAAATGGTCTTGATGAAGAAGGTTCTGTAAGACTAAGAGGTATGGGAATTAAGTCTCCTAAATACTATGTTAGTGGGAGTTATACTACTAATGATTATGTTAGTGGGAATAATGGGTGTAATTAGGCCTTTAAATGTAATGGTTATGCATACATATGTGATGCCTATATAATCATGTACTTTAGTCATTTTAGAATATGAATTAGAAGTGGAATAAAATAATTATTCAAGTATTCCTCGATATCATTTTCTTCCAAAACATTATTGAGTATTGTGTGTATCTAGGCCACTATTTACAACAAAGTGGTATCAGAGCAAAACCAGAAAGTGGTATTTGAGAGCAAAAGCCAACAAAGTGGTATCAGAGCAAAGTCAGAAAGTGGTATCAGAGAAATAGCTAACACTTAGAACTTGGACAGTTAGTAGGTATTGTGTTATATAAATGTCTATTTTTATATGTGTGTGTGTGTGCTTGAACATAGTAAAATTGTATAATCTAAAATAAAAATTGGATCCGGAGGGACATCCAACAGTGGACTCCAGAAGATGTTTGAATTTACTGGACAGAAAATGGCTAGTATGCTTCTGGTTAACTTGTATTTTGCTTTCACATAATCCATATCATGTGCACTTTTTGTCAAACAGAAATAACAAAAACTTCCATTAATGTCATTTCTTGGATTCTTTCTGCAGTGGATCATCTTGTGAATACGACAAGTTTGGGGCATACCTTCTACTTTGAGGAAGCTGCTGATACATCTGTGTTCCCCATTTTGATGGTATGTAAGGATTAAAACTAGCATTTGTGAAACATAGAAATGTCTTGAAATATTGAAAATTAATTGTTCTTCTTACAATATTTGTTGTCCATTAAGACGTTTGAATTGAAGGCACTTTATGCCAATCAATTATTGAGTAGCTTTTAATTTGTTTGCTTTCAGGACATAAACTTTTGGGGAAATGTTTATCCTACATACTTTGCTCTTCCTTACCTAAGACAACACCATGGTCGAATTGTAGTTAATGCATCAGTGGAGAACTGGTTACCATTGCCGAGGATGAGCCTGTATTCTGTGAGTAAATGTGAACTAACTTATTATGCTATTTTTTAACATCCTTTTGGAATCAAATATGTGCACTTGTACGCTGTAGAATGCTCACTGCTCAATTATCACCTAAGTGGTGACAAATTGGTACCAAAGCATTTAAGAGACTTCTGAAGATTAGGGCATTTATACTCAGGTTGTGAGTCTGCCCGAAAATCAGGCTGGGCTGAGCTAGTTAAAGGTAGCTTCAGTACTGCCCCAATAACAAATCACAAGCTTAATGATTTTCCAATTTTTAGCCCACAGTTAGTACATCTATGAGATGTATTTTTTTGGATGAGTTCAAGTACGCTTGTAACACACATTCATCCTCCGTTGAAAATTAGCATAAGGATATGGGTGACCCTGCTGGAAAAAGACTTGAACCAAAGACGTCCTTTACTACCTGGTAAGGATTTGAACCTTAAGATCATAAAACTGTAATTTGTAAAAGAAATGCAACTTATCGTACAAGCTCCTAAACATCAACAGAACACTAGCTCTTTGTTTTTGCAATATGATAGTTGTATATAAATAAGCAAAAACTAAATGAAATATTAGATATGTATATAAATAACCAAAAACTAAAGATGCTTAGCCCTCTGGGAAAAAATTAGGTTTCCTGGCAACTAGAGTTTCCTGCATTATCAATCACTAATTTTCTGATGGAGGGTGGGTCCGCTCTCCTCTGGCTAGTTAGTGGGGGCGTCATCTTGCCATTCTGGTTCACTTATCCATGAAACGTGGAGCAACGTTTCAAGCAAACAACAAAAACTGATTTCTCTACCCTTGAATTGGTACTTGATATATATTAATTTGAGGGTTTCTAGTGAAGATACCCAAAAAAGTTGTAGTCTCGTGAGGGTTTCTAGTGAAGATACCCACAAACTTTTCAAATCAGTGCCTTAATTGCACGATAACCTTATTTAAGCTTGTTTTCAAATCATATTATCCATGCAGTTCATTAATCAGTCAAATACAGCAAGTATAGCCAATCATGTAATCAAAAAAACTTTCAACTTCTAATTTCAATTTAGCAATCATAGTCCCCACATATCAGTTTAACCATTCATTCAACAATCTCAATCTCCAAAACACTTTTTAGAAGTGAATTTACAATTAAACATGTAGCTTACTATCCATACTTGCATTCATTCCTAGTTATTCCTCAATTCACAGGCAAAATTTTCAAATTCCAACTCCCAAGGCATTTATTATTATTTTCTTTTCAAGGTATACATTTTTCTCAGAAAGAAAACTATGCAATATTCAGGTCTATTAAGCTTTCTAGATCACCCATGTAACGAACTTTCAGCCAATGACTCCCAGACCAGACAGTCTTAGGGCATTAAGTGATAAAGCACCCCTCTGGATCTAATTGTTCAAGTAATCTAGGCAACCTAAACCCCTTATGTAGCAAGCTTTCTGCCAACTACTCCCAGACCAAATGGTCTTAGTGCATTTGGTGTCAGAATACACCTCTAAGGACTTAATTGCTTAAGCAATCTAGGTACATACCTGAACTTGATACTTTTTCTACTTCTTTTCTTCACTTGTTATTTTATTTTACTTATTTATTTATTTATTTTTCATTCATTCACATTGGTGAAGAAAATTTTTCTTTCATTATATTGCATACATACCAACTTTTCTATTTTTTTTTTTTTTTTTCTCTTCTCTCATTTTTTTTATGCCTTGGTTATCAAAATTATCAAATCCACCTACTTATCTCAGTCTAACTCAAAACAAAATAAGATTTCTAGTTTTTACCCCACAAAATTCATGCAAGTGTGAATATGTGCAAAGTGTAGCATCCCAGAGATTAATTTCATTAAACATGGATCATCCTAAAAGAGTGGACCATAGGCCACCAACTGATTTAAAAAATTATGCAAGAATCCCTTTTCATAAAATTCAACATACAAACCATTTTAAACTAACATCAGACTGCAATAAAATATACGACAATCAACAGACTTAAACTCATGCTTATAACATCAACTATCAAATCATGTCGTTGTGTTAGCAAAATTTTAAATTTCTCCCAATTTACCTTACCCCCAAACTTATTGTGCACATTAACCTCAATGTAAAAACAAAAGAGAGTTAGAAAAATATTATCATACAAGCAGACCAGCAAAGATAGACCAAAATGAAGCACAGAAAGGTAAAATGGAGAAATCACCCCCAAACTTAATCTACAGTATCTAGTAAAATCAACAAACTCCAACACACATCAGAGTAGCAAGCATATGGAGTAATGACGGAGAAATATCATAAGCAGTGTAACTATGAACACAAGGATAGTATAGGCAAAAAACATCTATATAAATGATAAAGATCAGTAGAATGCTTTTAAAATAACAGACTTAGGGCAGATATATAGCATAAAGGAATAAATATATCCAAAAGACTACCCTAGTTAACAAAAGTGCCTAACTAACAAAAGAAAATATAGAAAAGCCCTAGATAGCTAATCTATCTGAGGTGGAGGAGTATCTGTAGAAGTGGATGGAGTGGATGGAGTACGACGTAGTAACTCCTCTAATATGCTCTACTGTGCAGTCAGCATCTGCTGTAGCACTGTCTGTCCATCTTGCAACTCGGTCACCCTGACCTATAGCTCTCGAATCTTAGCCTGAGAAGAACTCTCAAGCTAGGTTACAGGAACAGGCCTTTTCCTAGGTGGGGCTTGGCTATCAGAGAGATCCATCTCATCCTCTATAGCCTCATCGTCATCATCCTCATCCTCAGTCTCCTTAGCCACCGCTGCATCGGCATGGTCGGCTGAAAGAATAGTAGGTGGAGGTGGGTATAGTGGTATGTGCAGCACATATAGTATACCCCGTGCCTCGGCATTCAAGTGTAGTCGATCCTCTTGGATCTCATCGTTAACCCCCTACTCACCCTTCCTTGTCTTAGGCATATGGCCAAAGACATTGTTCCACTGAGTGAAATGGTACTGGGAGAAGACTGTCACGGTAGCCTCATTCTGGAGTATGGGAACTCCTGATATCTCTATCAGGTGAGTAATAAGCCTAGGAAAATGTATATGGTGTGTAGGAGGGCATCAGGCCTCCCCATCTCATCGTAGAGCCGGCGCAGCTGCATAAACACTAACTGGGGAATTGACACCCAGTAGCGGCGTAGAATGCATAGTGTGCATCCACCATCTCTATGTATCACCCTACCTTATATCCGATGAGGCGAGCGTTGGCCATAAAGACCATATCCAAAAACCAAAAATATCTCAGAAGCTATGACTTCCGGATCGTTTCCCAAGTGGTGAAGTGCCTCCTCTAGCCGAGTGCTCAGACCATCGTCTCTCTAGAAAGGTTAGGGGGGAATGGTAAAAACTTGCCCAGTAAAGCAAAAGGGCATCTATGGTGGCAACCCATAGCCCGTGCAATGGCCTCACAGTCCACTATCAGCTGTACTCCCTCAACAGTAGCTGTAAAGCAGTCCTCTCCATTTTAGGCATCATCGCCTGCATGTAGTTGCAAGGTGCGGTAGAATGCTCGCACCAGTCGAGGATATTACAGTTTTGGGGTAATATATTAAGATATATATGAAAATATATACATATATACATACATATATATATATATATATATATATATATAAAAATCAAAGGGAGATTGAGTGAAAATCTTACCTTTTTAATGTACATTGACGCCTAAGATTGTAGGGATGATGATTCAATGAAGTTGGAAGAGTTTTGAGAGAGAATGGAGGCAAGAATACGCAAAGCCACAAGGGTTTCAAGCTTGGCTCGAGGGTTTCCTTATATTTTAAAGTATAAAGGCTCGAGCATGGTTGTTGAAAACCCTAAACTTAACGATGATGGAGGGCTCGAGCTTAGCGTATGTAGGCTCGAGCCTTTAGTAGCTGATGCTCGAGCTTTAAAGTTCAGGCTTGAGCATTAAGATAAATTTTTTGGATTTTTATATTTTTGTATTTTTCAATTTTTATTTTCCTTTTCTTATTTAATCTAAACCTAAACTAAACTAAAAATAAAATACACATAAAAATGAACGAAAACCTTTAAAAAAAAAAATGAATAATTATAACACAATCAAAAATAAAAAATAAAAAATAAAAATAAAAATAAAAACAAAACTATGGTAAAACATACAAATACTAAGTTTAATGTCGATAGCTCAACAGCATGCTAAGTTTAACGTCGATAGCTCGACGAAAACTAACCTCTCTAGTCCAACTAAATAGGATCATGAAGTTCTACTGTCTCCACTGTGCCTCTCTGCACACTACCCTCTATGTAGGGTTTGAGTCTCTATCCATTAACTTTGGGCAGTTGTCCAGTCTTGCAATCTTGTATCTCAACACCATAAGGTGTAACAGAAATAACCATGTATGAACCTTCCCAACGTGACTTCAGTTTACCAGGAAAAAGTTTTAGCCGTGTGTTAAATAACCAAACCTTCTTCCCATACTCAAAAGTCTTACGTAAGATATGCTTGTCATGAAATGCCTTAGTCTTTGATTTGTAAGCCTTAGCACTCTCATAAGCATCATTACGCAATTCTTTGAGCTCTATTAGTTGAAGCTTCCTATTAGAGTCAGCAGAGTGTATATCAAAATTAAGCTTTTTTTATAGCCTAGAAAGCTCTGTGTTCTAATTCTATAGAAGATGGCACCCTTTACCATAGACGAGACAGTAAGATGACATACCAATCGGAGTCTTAAAAGCTGTTCGGTAAGCCTACAAAGCATCATTTAGTCTTAATAATCAATCTTTACGATTTAGCTTAACCGTGTTTTCAAGAATTCTCATAATTTCACGATTGGATAATTTAACTTGGCCACATATTTGGGGATGATAAAGAGTAGCAACATTATGAGTGATGGAGTATCTTTGTACTAAAGCACTGAAATACCTATTATAGAAGCCTATTACAGAAGTGAGCACCTCCATCACTAATAATAGCTCGTGACATACCAAACTGACTAAAAATGTTCATTTGAAT